GAAGTGGAAAGAGGTTGGAGTTGGGGTCCTCTGCTGATTCTGCCCACACTGGCTAGGTGACCCCGAGAATGACTTCCAGAGCTCCCCTCTGAGCCTGGCCTCCTGACCTGTAAACAAAGGAGCTGGGCTGGAAACCATGAAGGTGGGTCTAGATGTAGAAATCTGGGGTCTGGCTTGTGATGTGAGAATAAGTTCTCAAATAGAGTAGATAAAACGGATATTTAAGGAAACCCTGTAATGCATTTTGTGAAGAACAATTATTTCATAATGCAAATATTCATTCCAGTTTCTGTTTTATAATTTCTGATCTTGTTTATCTGCATTTCTGTTTTTTAAATATGTTTTTATTGATTTCTAGAGAGAGGAAGGGAAAGGGGGAGAGAGAAACATCCATGGGTTGCCTCCTGTACATCTTCTACTAGGGATTGAGCCCACAATCCTGTATGTGCCCCAACCAGGACTCGAACCTGCGACCTCTCCTTGCATAGGATGATGCTCAACCAACTGAGCCACACCGACCAGACCTATCTGCATTTCTTAACAGTGAGGAAGAATAATTATTTTATAATGCAAAGAATCACTCCAATTTATATGTTTTATAATTTCTGATCTTGTTTATCTGCTTTTCTTAAACACCTACATCGATTATAATACCTATCTTTGCATTCTTTTCATTATACCTTCTGTTTTAAAAATAAAATCCAGTCCCTACCACAGCATCTCCTCTGTGCGCTAATCAAGGCAGAGAATAGCATTTTGTGGGTGAGGCCTGAAGGCTTCAGTTGCCCAGACTAAATGTTTACTGCTTCCTTGAGAGTGCCCGAGGACATAAAGTTTTTATGGAGCAATTATCGCAGGCACTGAGGAAATAAAAGCATCAGGCTATATTTCATATCCATACCCTCTTCCATGTGATGAGTGGTCTGGTATGGACATTTCTTAGTTGTTTCGGTTTCGGGTGCTTTTAGGCAATGCACGGCCATGGAAATTAGTGGCCAAAGGCCCAGGCAGTGAAAAACATTAGACCAGACCTAACAAAAAGGGTAGGGAAAAGCCAAGAAGTCGTTTAGGAATAAAAATCCTAGGACATTAAAGTTCAAAAGCACCTTGAAGGTCCTCCTGGGACAAAGTCCTGCTGGAAGTGGGTGCCTGTCTACAAGTGGGTGTCCCACCTGTCCTAGGGCAACGATTTTCAACAACCTCTTCATCTCATGGCACATCCAAACCAATTACTAAAATTCTGAGGCACATGGAAAAATAAATTCTATGTTTTGCTGATCTTACAAAAAAACAAAGGTTGTCATTTTTTTTATTTGACAATCTAAGGGAAAAGAGGCCAGTGCCCCTGACTAAGTCAGGTACTGCGTGTTTTAACAATTCTTGTGGCACACCAGTCAAAAAATTACTGCTCTAGGGCAACACCCAGGATTTCATGAGACAGGTATTTTGACAGCTAAATATTTACTGGAAAGTTCTTCTGCATCCTGACCTGAAATCTGCCTTCCTGACACCCACCCCTTTGGCCCAGTTCTGCCCTCAGTGTGAAACCACTTGAGATTATTATGCGACTGCTCATCCTTGGAATGTTATAGCCTAAATGGCAGCTTTATCTTCCCTTTCTTAAACACTTCTCACGAAGCATGAGGTCTGTTAGCCTATCATGAATATAATAAAGTTCATTTGAATCCTTGTTTAAAAACTTAGGCCTGGCATACGATGTTTCATTTTATGTAACAGCAGACTCTCTGGCTGCAGTGGAATACAGCTCTTAACTGGCCTCCATTTAACCCACTTGTTGGATTAGTCAATGTTCTCTGGTGCCCTGAGAAACATCCTGGCTCATGCTCACAGCAGGTAGAATGCTCACGGCCAGTTGGCTGTTCTTGGGGGGGGTCTACATAACTTCTGATCTTACATGTTGACCAGTATGTTGACCAAGTCCCAGCTACATTTATTCTCAAACATTGCGTGCCAGTGTTTTGATTACTGTAGTTCCATAATCAAAGAGTATATAAACCAATATAATACAAATGTGAGTAGAAGAGTTGTTTCTAGAACGCGTTAAAGTTTTAGAAAGACTACTGTTTGTTCGGTTAAAAGAATGCTATCAAATGGGTAAGGGTAAGACAACTGCAAACAAAACTGAGAAAAACCGCAACAATCCAGAGGAATGTTCCACTCATTTACTTCTGCAAAGGCCTTTGCATTCACACCCCCTTTAATGTTGGCAGTGGAGATAATGCATCATAGATAAGGCTCATGCAAGACAAGCCAGGCAGAACTCTTAACAGTGAACTTCTACTCAAAGCCAGACCTTGGCCCTCCCTCAAAGATTGGTGAATGAATCTACATTTACATGCTTTAAGTTGAATTTTAAATATTTAAAGTATGTCTTCTCCTTTTTATGATTTTCAGCTTTAATCAACTTTTTCAAACAACGGATCAATTATTGGCTCTGAAGTTAGGGAGAAGGTTTCCCACTAGAGTTTATAGCTGACCTGTCTCTTGGGACACTTAAAAAGTCCATATAATCAACATCTATACAAATTGAGGTCTGGTAGAAGTCAGAGATACCAGGAACTATAGGAATTAGTAAGACTCACCAGTTACTGTTTAGTTAGATTATGTTGATATAAACCAATGAGACAACTGGGTATGTAGAGGATTTGGCAGAAGCCAGAGAACTATGGGGAAAATATACAAGAAACCCATACATAAAAGCATTAGATATAATGTTAAGGTAAAAGTACGTATTCATTGGCAGACAAGCTTTATGAAGCTGCGTATTCAAAATAATGTTCTTTGAAAAAGCAGGAGAAGAACTTTCCAGAAAGGGAGTTTATAACGAGAGAGAAAGGAGACTCAGGGAGGGAAAAGGCAAAGGGGCTTGGTTACAGAAAAACAAAAAACAGCAGGTCAGGAACAAGGCTTACAAAAATAATCATGTAAAGTTTTAGGAAGTAGTCGTCAGTGAACTAGTCCGGTTCACCAAAAATGGTTCTGATGGAAAATGACCCCATTGTTACAACTGAAAAAACAGGAGCAAGCTTTAGGATCCCAGACAGATAATCTAACTGAAGCTATGTGAACTGAATGAACCATTTCTTGACATTACTAAAACATTCTAGTAAGAAAAAATATTTGCAGTTAAAAGGCGCACCATTTCAGAAGAGCTCATCCAAGGATGAGAAACAGACATCCCTTAAGGGTTTGCATTATAGCTCACTACTTGATGACTTGACTTTATATAGTACTTTGCCACTGATGAAGGGCTACTACATATATACTTTAAAAAAAAAAATTACCGAGCCAAAACCGGTTTGGCTCAGTGGATAGAGCGTCGGCCTGCGGACTGAAGGGTCCCGGGTTCGATTCCGGTCAGGGGCATGTACCTGGGTTGCGGGCACATCCCCAGTGGGAGATGTGCAAGGGGCAGCTGATCGATGTTTCTCTCTCATCGATGTTTCTAACTCTCTATCTCTCTCCCTTCCTCTCTGTAAAAAATCAATAAATATATTTAAAAAAAAAATTACCGAAACCCTCTGAGGTAAATATAACCTTCCTATTTCACAGGTGAGAAAATCAGAACTCACAGATGTTGAATGACAAGCCCAAGCTCACACAGCTGGAAAGTTGTTGGCAGACCAGAGCCCCAGCCATTCCAATTTACAGTCTTACAAAGAGTTTGGAAAATAAATGGAAAAAGTAAACGTTTCATTAATTCCAACAATCGTTTTATGTATTCTACCCCCTTCCCTCCCTCCACAGACTGTGATCACTGGAATATCTTTTTTTCCTTTGCATTGTATCACATGCATTTATCATGACTACCTGATCTTCATATAGTTCATTTAATGACCACACAAATATTATGACATGCGAATTATTTCAGTCAAAATAATACAACGGGTGAGGTGTTACTCCATAAAACCAAAGATCAATAAGAAGATGGTTCTTAATCCATCCCGTTATTGGCCAACCAGGTTTTTGATGCTTTGTTTGTGTTTGTTTTTTGCTATTAAGATGATGTGTTTCAGTCCCTGAATGGAGAGCAGCCCCTCCCTCCAGAAACACTCTGTTCCCCTTCGCAATGCCCGTGTACTACTGTCTGCTCATTTAAATCTGTACTCCCCACTTCCTGTAGTTAATCCCTGAGAAATCAAGTGTGTGTGGATGAAAACATGTATTTTTATATTTTCCTCCTTATTACTTGCAAAGACAATTATTTTACCCAGAACACGTGCACCCTGTGATGGAACAGTGAAAGCTTTCTTAGAAACGTGGATAAAAATCAACTGAGATTGAGCAAGAAAGCAAAATGGTCTGTGTGCCATTTTAGCCGGCTCTCAAAGGACCACTCAGTCTTTTGCTTTTCTTAAAACAAACCAAGCTATGGCGACATGCATGGCACAAACTACAAGGGCGATCTGGAAGTTGATGAATTTATCTGGAAAAGCATCATTTCCCCATTGCAATGCGTGCCATTGACGACAGCCCAGATGAAATTTTAAATGAATGCAAACACAGCCGCTCTCTAGGCCAAATTCTGGGAAAACACCTCAAGAATTCCAAGTGGAAATCTTTGTAGATCCTGAGAGGCTTATATGTTGCTCCTCATTTAGAGAAACGTCAAGATACACGCCTCCGAGGACCAGGAGAGAAGGGTTATGCAACACAAGGAGATGACGCATGTGAGACCCCAAGCGATGGCTCTCTGAGTTTTAAGCAATTCCCAGTAAATGCTCTCATCACTTTGGACGCCGCACCCTCAGTCATGGCACCTCTGGGTTGCAAAGCACAGGAGGGACCACCTAGTCCTCACCCGCCTCCTAAATCCACGGATAAGGCGGGCTGGGAAGAGCACAGAAGCTTCCAGAGACAGTGTGTGCCAGAACATTTGGTTACTTCTTACCTCACTGCAGAGTGTTTGGCCCAAACCAATGCACGTACCGATCCCGGAGAGGAGCCCTGCCCCCCTCCACAGGGGCCCCGTGACTTACCCCCGGGGGCCCGGGAGCGGCACTGCCCGGTCATGGGGCTGTACTCCTGGGTTTCGTCTGCGCACACACACAGGAAGGAGCCTTCCACGTTTTCACAAAAGGCTTCGCCACACACGCCACTGAGCAGTTCGCATTCGTTCACATCTGGAAAAGGGAGCACAGACCAAGTCAGACGGGGGCCTCACTCCTTTGCTTGACCAGCTGTGCCGAGGCTGGTGGCACTGTCTGAGAAGCAGGACCCCCAGCGAGCAGTCAGGCCCTGCTACCCCTCAAGGTAGGGCTGTGCATTTGTTTGTATGAAAGAGCCATGAAAATGCAAAGCAAAGTTTCCAAATTCCAATTCTGGCTTTAAGGAACATCCCAGAACTGTGCTGCAAGCATCCTACGCACCTTTGATGCTTTAGTTTTCGCCTCCCTAACTTACTGACATAACGAGGTCTTCTATAACCCACACTCTTCCTCTCAGTCCTAATTTAAGGAAAATCACCATCACTGGCACTTTGAAAACCATACACACCTTTAAATTCATTTGTAAGAAATGGCTTTAAATCCTCTTAAATGTCTGAAAATCATTTCCTAGCAGCCAACACATCCACCATTTAACAACCAGCAGTCAGGTTGTGTAAAGACCCCATAAGTATTCACTGGGTCCCATGAATCACTCACATACAACAAACTGGTTCGATGACTCCTCACTGGTTTCGCCCTGCCTTTGAAAATCCTGTTGGTGTCCCACAGCCAAGGAACCTACTGGTGAGGGTGTCTGATTCAACACTATGCAAGTGCACAGCCCAAAAGAAAGGCTAATGCGCTGTTCCACCTGGCCCAATGCTACCTCTCACCTTTACTCCTCCCAAGAAATGTTATGAATGCAGGCCCCATGCAGCAGAGCCCCTGGCTGACACCTGAAATGCTCATGCGCTTCACGCCTTCCCCCTGTGCAACAGCGGCTTTCAGGAGCACGCTCTGAGGCCGCGAATACAAAGTTAAACATCTGAGCAATTCGCCAAACCCCTCAGAAAACAGATCCTGTGTTCACCTGCTCCGCTCAGTTAATTGAACACAAGGTTTATGTATCTTGACTTATTTGAATAGTTACTCATTTTTCCATTTCACTGCGTATATAAACAGATGAAAACCTAAATGAGCTGGGTTTCGCTTGTTAAAAGATACTGCAACATAAAGTAAAGCAACGAGTTAGGATATTTAATCAACCTAGACAGTCATAATTTAGACCAGAAGAACTGACTTTAGAAATCTGCCAGTTCACATTGATCAGTTTTAGGTCAATGTCCAATGGAACTTTGGACTTTCCGACTGGTGTCATTTACAGGGCTCCCCCATCAGGCTGCATTCATTCAACCCCAAAATATTTTTTAGTTGACTTCTAGGGGCCTAGGCACTGGGGGAAAAAACCATGAGTCAGGCGGCCCAACTCCTGACTTCATGAAGCTTATAGTCAAGTCAGGGAAGTTAATCAGATAAGCAGATAGGCCGTGATAAGTGCCAAGCACAAATAGTACATAGCACTATGAAAGCACAAGACCGTGGGCCTTCGGTGCAGGGTGGGTAGGGGAATGGTTGGGAAGGAGCTCTATCTGAAGGCTATAGAGGTGATGATAAGAGGGGGTCGAGGTGCGGGGAGGCAGTCAGGGTCCTAGTAGAAGAAACAGCATGGCCAACGGTTGGTATGATTCATCCCTTACATCCTAGAGAACACCAGTGTGGTGAGTTGCACATGACAGGTGCTCAGTTAATATTTTTGAAGGCGTGCACACACAGTCAAAAGGACACCTGCTGAGTTCCCTAAAATGACGAAAACGATTTCTTTACTAAGGGCGGCGTTGTGTGTGCCACAATGAAACATCGACACGGGCTCAGTGAATTCATCTGGCTGCCTAGAAATGAGGTCTGAGAGCTGTGTGAAGTCAGTGGCTTGGGATCCCAATAAGTGACAGTTAAACAATATTTACCGAGCACCTATGACAGGCCAACCCGGTGGAGAGAGAAAGTTCTCAGTCACATGGCGCTCACTGCCTTGGAGAAGGCGACTGCCGGCAGCACACGTGTGATTAAATTATTCCCCCCAAAAGGGTGTCCGTTCTGCAATATAATTTGCTCAAGGTATTCTGGAAGCAGGAGGAGGGTCACAGCTCAGTGAGAGGTGGCACAGGGGTGGTGTGCGGGAGGAGATGGCATCTCTCCTCCAGCTCCAGCTCCGGCAATGAGCGGAGTGAGTTCAGGCTCTGGGAAGGGATATTTGGGAGGACATTCTCAACAGAGTGAGCAAACAACAGCCAAGGAACCGCCAAGTCACACGAGCAAGCGCAAGCAGTTTTACATGGCTGGAGTGTCAAAGGTGGGGAGAGACAAGGTGAGGCAGAGAAGGTAAGTGGGGGTCAGGTCACATGACCTATTTAGTCACAATATTTGGTGAGTGTCAGATGACTTTCATCGCTGTCATGTCAGTGCACTGGAGACTAAAGCAGCAACTGGCAGTAGCGATGATGACAATGTTACCTCAAAAGCGGTTATTAGTCAAGCGATTTTTTCATTAAATTTCCAAATGCCTAGGTTTTGTCTTCCCAGTGAGATCTGGATGGGACCGGAACGAATGCTTTCATTGCAAATTTGCCACAGAATGAACAGAGCTATTTTTCTTAATTAAGAAGAATCAAGAAAACGCCTGGCTATCTGGGAAGTTTTTAATTGAAGAAACTTTCTTCTCTTTCCCATTGAATTGCTCTATGTTATACATGTGCTTCATAATGAATTTGATTTAAAGAAACCACAGCTGGTCAGAAAATGAAATGCAACATCCCCTCTTCTCATGTGCATGTGTCGGGCCATGTCCTAGACCGTGGTCAGCAAACTGCGGCTCTTTGGTCCCTTGAGTGTGGCTCTTCTTAAGCCTTAGGAGTACCCTAATTAAGTTAATAACAATGTACCTACCTATATAGTTTAAGTTTAAAAAACTTGGCTCTCAAAAGAAATTTCAATCGTTGTACTGTTGATATTTGGCTCTGTTGACTAATGAGTTTGCCGACCACTGTCCTAGGACGTCTGATGACATTCAAGATTCCTTCGCCCGTCCATCAGAGGAGTGAAGAAATGCAGTTGCCCAATCCAATGCATCACTCCTGGGTGTCATTCCTGGAAACCGAAATTCCTGCCAACACCCCTCCTTACAGGCACTGCCTGAGGAGGTGCCCAGTGAAGACAGGCAAGCTCTGCCCCACACCAGACTCTGTTTCCGGTGCAGGAGGGGCTTGAGAGTTCTGCACACCCAGCTAAGAGCTTAAACAGATGTTCTCCCTACTACACGTCTAAATTCAAAGTTACACGTCTAGACTTCTTAATGTCCCTGGCCATTTCAGAAGCCATAGGACCTTTTCGTACATCCCCACATTATGTGACAACATCCAATCACGATGAAATTCTGTCTGGATTACCTTGCTGGTAGTCTCTCCTGTTGTTGATAGCTTTGGTTTCTTTTCCATGTGGAGATAGGAAGCGTGTTGGGAGGAAAAAAGTCTAAAAACTCACCCACACACCCTTGCCCATCCTGCGGGGCCTGAAAGCCCTGATAACAGAGGCAGCGGAAGGAGCCGGCCGTATTGTCACAAAACCCGTGCCTGTCACAGACAGTGTTGTTTACACACTCATCAATATCTGCAAAAAAGACACAAAACACAGACTGACAAACACCAGGTAGGAATGGATACACAGGCGCTTCCACACACCCCGGTTAGTATGACATGATCATGGTTACACAGAATGAACTTTAAAAACATTTTACACAGCAATAAAATGTTTTGATGGAAATGTCTCACTAGACAAAACACTGGGTTCTAGGAGAAAACATTTACTTTTTTCTCAGGAAATGTTTTCAAACGGAAACAATGGCTACAATGGTCACACTCAGTTATTTTCTCAATGTTTTTAATTCTTTATTTTGAAGGAGAACTGTCTCTCTCTACAGGGGACATATGGGAAGGTACTGCCACCTGTGTTGATTGTGGTAAATACTAAACCGTTCTATCTGCAGAGTTGGGGGCTGAAAGAAGCTGTTGCCTGCCTGGGCAATGGTTACTCAACTCCATGGATGGCCTTGATCAAGTCTAGCCAGTATTCCCAAGAGAGGGAAGAGAAGAAGGAGGGGGGAGGAGAGGAGAGGTAGAAAGCAGAGGGGAAGGAGAGGAGAGAGAGGGGGGAAGTGGGGAGGAAGAGAGAAGAAGAGCAGGGAAGAGGAAGTGGGAAGGGACAGAGAATCTGATGAGTCCAGCGGTGTAACCACTGAACTCATGTAGCCACTCAAGGTCTTCAATGTTAATGCTGCTCCACCTGACCAGCCAGTGGCCAAACCTGTAAATCCATTTTGTTCTGTATAAATTTTGTGATAGATAGTGGTCCCTGGCCTCTTCTTGCCCCCCATTAATAAAAGTCTATACTAATAAAAGGGTAATATGCTAATTTGGGTGAACATCTTCTAGATGTCCATTCAGACACCCATCCGGACAAAGCCACAGTGGCTGCAAGGCCCGGGACTCATAGCAGCTGTGGGCTCAGGCAGCTGCGAGGCCCAGGGCTCACGGCAGCCACCGCGACTGGCAATGGCAGCAGCAGCAGGGTGATAGAGGCGGCGCCTTACCCTGATCATCCTGGTCGCCTCCGTAGAGGGAGGCCAGACTGCGGCTTAGGCCCACTCCCCTTGGGGAACGGGCCTAAGCCATCAGTAGGACATCCCCTGAGGGCTCCCGGACTGTGAGAGGGGGCAGGCCAGGCTAAGGAACACACCCCTCCAGTGCATGAATTTTCGTGCACCAGACCTCTAGTGTTCTCATGAAAGTGATGTCTCAATGACAAAGTCACAAACGGACTGTTAGATATAGTTCTTCTTTATCTTCTTCTTAAGTTTCCCTGCCATTCTTTCATTTCTGACCTCCTGCTTACTGTGCACTCCCTTCTGTCCTGTCCGCCTCTGGACCTCACAGTCCCAAAATACAGGTTTTGGGAGAAATAGTTAAGATAATGCAATGACTGTATCCAAATCTGGTAGAAGGTAGTATTTTTATGTTCAAATAATGAAACAAGAAAACTAACAATAAAGGAAATGATGGGCTAAATTGCACTTGACAGAATTTGGTTTTTGAGAGTTAATGTTAATAAAATTGAGCTTTTCTTGTTTTAATCTTTTTAAGCGGATTCCAAGAAACTTTCTAAGGAAAAATTCAGCGATTTTCGGCAGCTGTCTCACTTCCCTTCCTGATGTTCCAACACTGACGCCATCACGTTCAGAGACTGTCTCACTTTTTGAATTGCAAAATATGAGTGACTGCATCAGAGTTGTCCTAATTTTCACAACTCAAAGAAGACTTTCAAGGCTGGGGCCTTTCTCCCAGCCCCATCCTTTTCCCTGGAGTCCAAACTACTCAGCATCTTCCACTATACACCCCCTCCCCCCCATCCCCTTCCCTCACTGCCTTGGAGAAGTTTGACCTTGATGTCACCCAGTGTCCTTTTCCATTCTTTTTACCACTGTAATATGTCCACAAAAAACCCAAAACCCCACAAAATTGTCTACAATCGTTGCCTTTATTTCCTAATATAGCTTACCAGTAAATAAAATAATAGCAATGATACTAATATTAATAACAATATGGGTGTGTTTCTAGGATCACTGTGATGATTAAACAAAATAACACACATAAAATGTTACTTTTAGAACATTGCCTGGCATGTAGCATAAGGAAGCATCCAGTACGGGTCAGTTATTATTACTATTACTATTCCTCTTAATCATTAATGACTTACTTCCTGACTCTATCTCTCAAAACCCCTCAGAAAAACCATCTACAGACCCATTATTAAATCCCATGATCATTTGCCAATCAGTCACCATCACCCGTGACCTCCACATCTGGTCAACACCCCCTCCTTTACAGAACTCTCTCTCTTTTCATAACCAGACAAACCATTGTTCTCATTCTACCTGTAACCACTATGGTTGGCCCTCACCTGGCACAGCCTGAATGAAGGTGGCACCTGCCAGGGCTCAGGCCTCAGTCCTCCCCTCTCCACCCTTTCCGCACCTTCCCAACTGCAAAGACCAAGGTCCTCAGAATGAATCCCAGTTCCTCCTCTCCAGCCAGGATCCTTCATATTCAAAATCATCCATTTACCCATTTGACCTTCTGCTGTAATGTCAAACTTATCAAGTCTGAAACCTACTAAACTACACTGTCTTCCTCCTAAACTGTACTTCCTGACCTTAGTGAGAAATCTTTCATCTTTTAGGCTTCCATTTTTCCCCCCTCTATCGAACACAAAGAAGACACTCCATAGATTTGTTCTGATAGATTTTCAATGTCAGCATGAGGCTGGGATGACAGCTATTTACTGATCACAACCATGCGAGGAGTAACTGCATGTGTCCTCAAATCACTTGACACAGGCCACTGTTAATTTTAGACTTTCTGGGAGGGACATTTGTCAGGCGATGACACCACTTGTCAAACTATAGGACATAAGGGCTGGAAAGAAATTCAGAAATGCTTCCATTACCACTTTTATACTGATTTCCCAGGCTTCCTCCAGGGCCAGCCTCCATCCATTAGAGACATTTCTCTAATAACTGTTGGACATGTTCATCATAAATGAACTTATTTCCACTCCCGCCTCACATCTCCTCCATTTCACCTATATCCCCTTCAGCAGAGAATCCAACCAGTCACCCAAACCAGAAACCTTAGTCACCCTTCTCTTGCACCTCCACCCCCATCCCTCCAGTCATACCCTTTAATCTCCAGTCTTGCCTCCCTCCCTCTAAACTGTTCTCTACCGAACTGCAATCCTGTTGGTGACATCCTCTTGCTCAGAATGTCCAATATCTCCTCTAGGCTGGAGGATACCAAGCACGCTCCTCCGCAGAGCACAGAGCGCCCTTCATCATCTGGCTCCTGGCTGCCAGTCTGGCCCTCGTCCTCAGCCAGCCTTCTTCCCAATAAATGCTCCATCCCCACCAGCATTCTAGAGTTCTTTGAAGACCCTATGGCCTTTAATTTCTCGCTGACTTGGTGCATACTCCTTCCTCCACTAGAAACTCTCCCCCCAACCTGCTTTGCTCAAAGCTCCTCTGGCTTCTCAGGAGTCGATCCAGGGGCCACTTCTTCTGTGGCAGCTTCCATAGCTCCTCCCATTGCAGACTTCAGGGCCCCTGCTCTCTGCTCCCAGAGCACGTTGTGCAATTGTTGTGCTTATCAGGGCTACTTTTCGGGGTGGGGGACCTCACCAGCACCTTATTTCCCCCCAAAAATGAGGTGGTGGATGGCAAAGAAGAAGCAGTGCTAGAAACCTGGTGGCTTTTCAGACAGATTTTTGAAATAAAATCTCTTGCCTTCCTTTTTATTAATTCCATGCTGTTACAGCAGACGGTGCTTTCTTGTTACTGATCGCCAGCTCAGGAACTGAGTGACCGACCTTAAGGTGAAGAAGTCCCGAGACAGTTATGAATAACTGGGCGTCTTGCAGTCTCAGACTTACTGTAACAGTGATTAACAAAGTTTAGATGAGCAATATTTTGGATTTGAGTGAATAGGAAAAAATAACTTGGAATGCCTGCTAGAGACTCACTCTTCAACAACTAATATTTTATAAAAATGATAGACTGTAACTCTCAGCAGTTTCATGTTTTCAACAAAGAGGTGAGGTAATCGCTTTAATAAGAAGACAACATTTGTTTCACTTCTCTGACTAATGATCTGTATTAAAAAAACACACGCTTTCATTAGATTTTTCTTTGATGTGAGCTCTCTCAGATATTTTTCCATTGTTAGTTCTGTCTATAAAGAGACTTAGAAGAACTGCTACAATTAATATTAATTCTATAAAAATAAAGCTAAATGTTAAGGTTTATGATTATATAAAAATAAAAGCCCTATCAAGATGCAGGTTTCAGAAATGGACCAGTGAAAGCCATCTGTTTTGGCTGAAGTTGAATTTTGAATATGAAACTCAATTTTGAAAGATCCAACTCTCAAAGGCTGTCTTTTCACTTAATGCAGAGTGAGTCCATGACATTACCAATTTTGCTGAGGCATCCGCAAGAACCCTGCATAGTATTATCACCAGTCACACTGCCCACATGAGTGATGAAGACGTGATTATCTAGCTATCTCTCAGTTGGCAACCCAAATGAATTAGGCATACTGCTGTAAGAATTTCTGATTCCTCATGCAAGATTTTGCTACTAATACCTGACTGAACAAAGCAGATATAAATATTACTGCTTCAATGGATATGAATTCAATAAAGAATTACACAGACCAAGGATAGTAGATCATTGATGTGAATTCTCCAATAACAACATTACATAAATGCCAGAAAGTAAAATAAAGCAGAGTCCTTCCTGGGCATCTGGAACTAGCAGGAGCTCATTTTTAAAGGAGCAGTGTTGTTAGTGACCTACAGGCCCACACTTTGAGGCACTGACCTATTTGGTAGATCCATTTTTCTCATCCATATGCTTTTTATGTAGTATCTTTTCTCAGTGGATGAAAAGTTTTTCAAAACCTATTATGACATTTTTAAATATATATATTTTTATTAATTTTAAATAGAAGAAAGGAGAGGGATAGAGAGATAAAAATACCTCCTGCCCCCCCCCTATTGGG